TATGCATAATATATTTTTATACGTTTTAATTATAACTTTATCGTTACAGTTTCTCCCTTTTCGAAACAAATTTGTCAAATTCACATTTGATCGTGATTTGAGTTAAATTTTACATCGAACTTGACTTATCATAGAACCAGTAGTGCACTGCGTTTAGATAACTTTCTTGAAAAAGTAGCCACCGACAGTCTAATTTTTTCAGCCGATTGTTAATACTACTAATTGGGCTGCATCCGAGTGCATTCGTCTCTTGTGGAGGATGAAAATGCCGTGAACTCATGTCTCATTTAACTTTTGATTTAGCCGCCTTTGATGCCAAAAGAGCTTTTCGCATGTCGCTTCGTTTTGTTCGCATCTCTGGCTTTTTTACTTCCAATTCAAAACTTCCTCCATATTCAACCCTTCCTTCAGCTTCCTCCATATGACAGGTGCAGCTACTTGGGAAATAGCCCGAATGGTAGCAAATGCTAACAGCAATCACTTGCTGACAAAGCTGTCAAGGGCACCCTCTTTCGATGATTACTTGCAAGCAAGCTGATTGCGGGTTTGACTACCGGACAAATGCCAGCACCAGTTTACCATCGAAACGAATAAACAAATCGTGAGGAGTTGGTTATTTTAATTAAATTCAAAAAAAAAAGAAATTTTCTGATTTCCAGAAGTGCTGGCTGAGTTTTACAAATTTTAGAATAATTCGTGATGCACTCTCCCAAAATTTTTTGCGTCCATTTAACTGACATGTATTGGTGCTACTGTCTGGCTGTAAAATGATGAGCTGAAAATTGACTGGATTATGAAAAGAGAACTGGTTATGTCAATTTGCTGCAAAAAATTTTCTGATCTATTAACGAAAAGTGTCAGTGCTGGACTCGTTCCTTTTTTCGAGATATTTTCTTTTCTCTCTTGCTACCTTGATATTTTAGGTTGGCAATCACCAAATCGGTGAGTACCTCATCGTGGTCCAGGAATGAGATGTTCAACATACACCTATGAAATCACGAGGTGGTTAAAACTTTGCCTTCGGTCCAGAGAATCGCTGACCTGGTAGTTTGTTCTGGAGACAAAAAGAATATCAGGAGCGCCAGTAGGTTAACCACAAAGCGATGCAAAATTGGTTAGAGCAACTGGAAAAGTTGTTAGTTGCATAGTTAGTAAAGCAAGTTATGAAATGCGTAGTGTCGAAATAGCTATAACAAAACAGATAGGTATGAGTATAAGGCATTCCAAAGTTGAATGCAAAGAAAAAGTACAATCTTGGGTGTAAATCGAAGTGAAAACGGGCCACATAGAAAAATTTTTTCGTAATCGACGCACTCAAATCAACAGTGTCCTCTGAGAGTTCGCCATTATAGTCGAGAACCAGGACCTCCAAATTCTCGTGATACTTCTCCATCTAAGGCATCAAGCAGTCCTGTCTCGCGAGTTCCATTAACAGTTTAGATGATGTCAGAAAAAGGGCAGACATGTGGAGTACAAAAATATCTGTTCAAGCAGTCATGCCTATTGAAAAAAGTGGTCGACTGGCCACCCCGGATGCCATTCAATTTCCCATTTGCTTTATCACCTTTGCTGAACTGCAAATTCATTTTTGCCCAAAATACCTGAATTTTCCTCAAAAATTGAGTCATGCGCGAGCCTCCTCCTGCATCCTCCACCTCCGTTTTTTTTGTGTTTTGAGAACTTGACTCACTCCTTCAGTACCTCCGGTTTGTTTGTGTTGTTTGGACTTGACTTACTGGATTCCAAGAGGGTTACTATTTATAGCTGAACTGGACTACCAATTTTTCCAATGTGTTACTGTGAAGGTGTTTATGTTTTGATCAGTTCGACACTTGCTATTTCGCAAGTATGCAAATGTTAGTACGGCTGATCTGATGTTGAACAACCAGGATTGTTTTGTCCAAAAGGGTCAAATCTTAGCTTGATCAGACAGGAATATTGTTCAATCATATGTATCACTGACTCCATCTCGCTACTGCTAAAATCCATTTGTCTCTAGCCTGGACCCGAGAACTTCACTACAATTAGCGAAAGCAACTAAGTCCCCGACGGCGGGTATTTTATCATTTGTATTTCCTGGAACTTTCTGGTATGAGAAATCATCGCAGGAACACTGGGCTCCAGTACGTCTTGCGAAGCAACCAAGTCCCCACGCGGCGGATATTTAATCATTCATATTTCAACTCTCCAGTCTGAGAAATTAGCAAGGGAATTATACTGACTGATATGCAGCAAATTTAACAGAAAGGTGACAAGATCATATGAATTTTGAACGCCATGTATTGGTGAGAGGGTATCTGCAAGAACGTAAATGACCATTTAGGTAGCCTCCGAAGAAGTGGTGCACATGCGCCGAACAAACTAACTGGAAGTATGCTGTCCAGGATCGAAGGACCTAGCGTAGCTGCGTGCAGTATGTGAAACCAATCCAATAATACCACTAAACTGGGATAAACAACGAATGCCCAAGTGATCTGGTATCATGCCAAAATCACCTATTCGGAAATACATCGCGCATTCATTGAATGATCTCGAGATAAAACTTTTTTTATTTTTGCATGTATTACGCAAAAACGCGTAAAAATGAAGATATTAACCCTCATTACCGATTTTCTCATCCCTCTAGTCCCGCTTTTCCTCCTGCCTTGCCGTCTTCCCGGAACTTTCGTTTTCTCCTTTCTTACTCCTCCGTTCTACCTTCTCTTTGGCATGGTTTTGCCTCTGTCTTTCCTATCTTCGTAAAAACTTGTGTATTTTCGTCCCATTCGTTCGCTTCGGTGGTAAACTGGCACTGGCGCATGTTTGGCATTATCTTTTATCTAAGCAACCTTTCAAAAATGGAATCATCGACAGCCTTGTTCATCTTTTTCTGCTTTTTGCAGAGAGCGAGTTCGAGAGAGGTTTTGACTTGCTGAATTAGATTTTGGTTTTGTCAAGAATGATTTGTGATGTTTTTGCTTTCAATGATATATATTATTTATGTGTGACAGAAGTGATGCTCCGTATCTGGAAAAACACTTTTTGGAATTTTCATCACGTCACTGGTGCGTTATGAAAAACTGATGTTTATGCCGAGGGATCATTTTTTGCCCATTTTCAGGATACATTCCTTTGCATCCAGTGAGCGAGCACCTGATGATTTCCATCATAAATTTACCAGCCGAAACGCCATCTGAATATTTCGCTACTGCGCCGCGAAGCCGCAGCACATGTGAGGCACTGTTCTGGCAACATAACAGACCATCAAATTACAAGGCATACTTGCCGGATGGAAGACGAATCGGATATCCAAATCCACCGGTTCGTACATTATCAGTTAAAAAACTAAAAAAAATGAGTAAAATTACTGGATTTGCAAATATCCTTGGCGGACTGCTTGAGGCCCTCTTCCGAAACCAATTTGAGCCAAAGGAGCAGCCGAGACGGTGGTGAGGGTTATTATCATAGGATTTCTAAATGGAATATTTAAGGATCCGAATTTATTATGGCAGGATGCGCTGCAACGATCGATGATGTACAAGCTAGAAGTC